CCCAGCGACATGTTCTCGCTGGCGCCCCTGCACAGATGAAGGGAGACGAGGACTTCGAGAACGCATTGGAGAGGAGATCGATGGCAGCTGCGGCATTCATGCAGGCGGACGCCTCAGCAAAGCTACGACAGGCGTTGCTACGTCGACGCGTCGGGTACAAACGCGACTTAGCTATTGGTCCGCGTTGCCCCTACTGGCGCGAAGGGAATGCCAGCGAGCGCATCGAGAACAAGTGGAAAAGAACCTTCGATTGTGGATTTCAAGGAGATGAGGCAGGATGAGAGCGCGCCCAGGCTCTACTGGTCGCTCACGGCATGCAGCTACTACGCTGTGCACCTGAGCACGCTCGGCCAGGCGTCGGCGACCAAGGATGCGTTCTACTCGAGAACCTCGCGCAAACCAAGGGGGCTCTTGGAAACGTGGAGAGGGCCAGTGATACGCAGTTTCACGACGCCACCTCGCATCAGCAGCCGTTTGGCGCACCAGGCGATTCGGACATGGACATCAGCGACGACGACGACGGACCAGGAGCCGGCCCCCATCAAAGAGGCAGAGAGGATCGCCATCGGCTTCGGCTTCGGCACCAACCGCGACGGCAGCAACAGGAGCGGCGGCTTCGTCATCGATGGCAGCCTCGCCATCGCCGCTGGCCTTTCCAGGGCTGCCAAGTCCATCAGAGGATGAGCCGACGGGGCAAGCAGAAACGCCCCAGCACGCGCCTGCACCGAGCGAAGGTCAACCAGACCAGGAGCCAATGTCTACTTCGCCACCTACCGCGACGACAACGCCAGCCGAGCAACCGCAGTCATCCCCACCAACTCCAGGGCAGTCGCCACCGCCAGCGCCAACGCCAGCGACGTTGGGCCCAGCAATGTCGGCATCCTCAGGAGCGACGACGCAGGCGCCTACGTCTGTTACGGCGAGCTCTGGCCGAAGGGAGAATCGCAAGCGGCTGGGCGCGGCTGAAGCTCCCATATTCACCCGACCTGGATGGGGGAGTTTACCGAGGACCACCGATGCCAGACCCGACGGCAGTTGCCCAACCAGTGGACGGAGACAGTGCTGACGACGAGCTCGCGGCGATGCAACTCATGCTAGACGACGAGGGCCCGCCGCGCCGATGGGAGTTCGACGGCGAGAACGCCAATCTGAAAGACATCCACGCCGTGGTCAGCACCAGGGGCGCGGCGCCTCACGAAAGAGCGGCGTTCATGGAAGGTAGAAAGAAGGAGCTCGAGTTCTTCGGCAACGAGGTCTGGGAGTTGCACGGGCCGACAGGAAAATGAGATCCCAAGCGTATCCTGAAAAACAAGTGGGCGTTGTAATGGGGCATGAACGACGATGGCACTCCAAGAGCCAAGGCACGTCTAGCACTCTGGGGCTTCAACGACCCAGACGCACTCGACGGCAAGGTACCAACGGCATCACCTACAGCATCGAGATCAGGGCGTCAGCAGACTATGCAGCTGGCGGTGAACAGCGGATGGAGAGTGTGGACCGCGGTTACAGCATTTCTTCGAGGGAGACCTCAAGAGCGAACACTCTACGCCAAAGTACCTCGAGACGCAGCAGACCTCACGGGCATCGAGCCGGGCACGCCGACGAAGCTGATCAAGCCCTTGTACGGACACGTGGACGCACCGCGCCAGTGGTGGCAGCGAGCAGTTGACGACCTCAAGGCCAGCGGCCTCAGGCAACATCCCCTGGGCCCGTGTCTATTCGTGAGCTACGACATGGATGGAAACTGCGACGGCTTCATTCTACTGTACGTGGACGATATGATTGGAGGAGGCGGTCGCTGGCCCGGAAGCAGCTACAGCGCTGCCGTCGAGGCAGTCAAAAGCAAGTTCAAGTCTCGGAAGTGAATCGAGGAGGACAAGATGGAGCACTGCGGATCGGACCTACACCAGACGACTCGCTGGGACAAGAAACAGTCCAACAACACCGAGATCAACATCAAGATGTCGACGTACGCCTCCAACCTCAAACCGATCAAGATCGACCAGAAGAACGGCGACAACGACCGTCTACTTAACCCTAACAAGATACGACAACTTCGAGGATTATTGGGAGAGCTACAGTGGCCAAGTCCCCAGGCGTGCCCACATACCTCAGCATCGGTCAGCATCCACCAAGGGCAACTTCCTACGGCAACAGTGGCGACGGCGAAAAAGGTGAACAAGACGCTCACGTTCTACAAGCAGAATGCGGACGTGGGACTGCGGATGAAGAAGGCCGGGAAGTTCAATGACATAGTTTTGGTGGCAATGACGGACGCAGCGTTGCGGAGTACGGCAAGGCGGATCTAGTCAAGGAGGCTATGTGATTATGGAGTGTCGTTCTAAGGCTCTCAACGGCGAGGACTCGGATTTCCCCGTCGTTGATTAGAAGTCCTTCAAACTCACGAGGATAGCGAGATCCTCGCTTCATGCGGAATCTCAGGCGGCGGCAGCAAGGATGGACGCACTGGAATTCGCGAAGCGGTTCTGGGCGGCACTCATCTACGACAACGTGGAAATCAACGGCGCCAACAGCACCCACTACGCAAGATAATCCGCACTCGTGGTCGATGCCAAGGCGCTGTGCGACGCAGCCCAGAAGGAAAACATCACCAGCTTCCAGGGCAAGCGTACTGGCATCGAAGTTCCAGCATTACGAGATTGGATGGAAGCTACGAGTACGTAGTGGAAATGGGTTTCTTCAGAGCGTCAATGCGCAGATGGACTCATGAATTTGGCAGCACGGCAGCTATTCGCGGACAGGCTTCGAGCTGGACGGCTACAGCTTCAACATTGCGTTACCTATACCGCAGCCAAGAAGAAAACAAAAGAAGAAAGGCATGCCATCATCGAGAAGAGTAGATTGGATACATCATCGGCCACGAGGTCATCCAGGTCACCACTAATGCAGTTGGCGGTCCTTGCGACATGCTGTTGCAATTCAGTGGCTACGTACACAGAGGACGGCTACAACACCGAGTACATGTACCACTACTACGACGAGGCAATGAAGTGTTCGTGGTTCTCTGGAGGTGCCCGAGACGCATTCTCATTTATGCTGATGGGTATGCCGGTGGCCATGCCAGTGGCCTACTACTTGCTACAGAAACTTGTGGACCAACAATGCACTACTCCGATCCCGATCAAGACGGAATCCAGCGACAAGTTCGAGCAGACCGTGGAGAAGGATACGATCAGCAGCAACAGGAACAGCGACTGCAAGTACCAGAAGATTCGGCAGCGGACGATTGGAGTCCAGAGCATGGCTACCTACTGTTTGATGGGCGACCAGTGGCGGTTCTGCCATAAAACGCAGGGGTTCAAGAGAGCAGGCGAGATCACCATCGAGATGGACGAACCCAGCATGCAGCACGACGACATGAAGCCACCGGAGGATGACACGAAGACGAGCTTCACGTGAATGAAGCCTCCCCCTATGCGATTTGGTTTAGTGTTCCATGCTTTGCTAGCAGTATTATTTCTTGCGTTTCATATTCGTGGAATTTCGGTTTTCACATTTCGTATCTAGGGAATGTCGTTTTCCCGAAGCTTCTTTTAGCCTTCGACGGGCGTGCTATACACGCTGTACATCTGTGCAGACAGCATAGCAAGACAGTAGCTGAGCGTGCACAACATTATAAGCACGAGTGGGGGACGAAGAGCAGCCTCCGACCGTACGGTCTTTTGGGCCCAAACCTTGACAGGGCCCTTGAGTCACCAGCGCAGGGGTGTGAAACCATCCCGGTGTTATTCGTTCGTAATCTTTCTTGTTGCAATTAGAGTTTTCGACGGTTTTGAGAAGTTCATGATAGGAGAAGGATGAGGAAACGAGGAGAAGGAGCAGGAGTAGGCTCGAGTAAGATCGAGGATCGAGGAGTAGGATCAGTGACCCTAAAATCCGAGCGTCGTCGTCGGCCGCGGCTTCGTCGTCGGTGGTGTCTGGTTCGTTGTCACTGTCGGCACCGTCATAGCCGCCGCCGCCGTCGTCGTCGTCGCCGTCGCAGGCGACGTCGTCGCCGTCGTCGACGACGTCGTCTTCGTCATAGCCGTCGCCGTTGACGACGTCGTCGTCGTCGTCGGCGGCGAAGATCACTGGCCAAGGATCGAGGCTCGAGGAGGAGCATCGGAGACCGAGGATAGCGGAGGATCCTGATACCTTGGCATCGATCTATGTTCGCGCCAGGCGTGTTCGCCCAGCATCGGGTCCAGGGGCCATCACAAATCGATCTGCCCTGAAAAATGCCGCAGAAAAAAAGGGCAAGGGCTCTGGTCGTGATTTTTCGCGGTGATGCAATGTGTCCATCACGTCGGATCTCAGGTCGAGGAGGGGGAGGAGGTCACTGAGTAAGGATCGAGGACGAGGAGGAGAAGACGGAGGATGGGTGGATGAGGAGATGGAGGGAAACGGGGAGCAAGAGAGGGACGGCGGTTGGAGGGAGAAGAATACGGAGGAAAACGAGGAGGATGAGAAGGATCACTGACCAGACTTCCACGCAGGCAGTCCTCCCCACCTCCTCTCGTCGTGAACAGGGCCACGACGGACGGCTATTGCATTGGCAGCTGCGGCCTCCAGGGGCCCTTGCAGGGCCCCGAGGCAGCCAAAAGACGACTCGGGAGGAGAAACTGGTCCTCCCGCGGGTGCTCCCTGGGGTGTCGAGGGCCCCCCCGGGAGGGAGGCCCCCCGCTTGCCGCCCCAGGCCGCTGCAGGAAGGCCCGAGGGGGGGCGCCCGACGCCCCGAGTGTGGGGTCGAAGCTCACGAGGAGTAGGAGGAGGAGGGAGGAGGGAGGAGGGAGGAGGGAGGAGGGGAGGAGGAGGGCGGGGGGGGGAGGGAGGGGAGGAGGAGGAGGAGGAGGAGGAGGAGGGAGAGAGGAGGAGGAGGATGAGGAGGAGGAGGAGGAGGAGGAGGAGGAGGAGGAGGAGGGAGGAGGGAAGGTGGAGCAGCAGAAGCAGGAGGGGTCGCCGGCGCCGCCCAGCGCCCACGCGCACCGGGCTGGGACGCGTCACTTCGCCAGGCGGATGTACTCGTGCTTCACGCACTCGTCGTCGATGGTGAAGAGGGTGAGGCAGAGCACCTCTGAAAGGCAACGATCTGGGAGACGTGAGACTCGGGAGCGGGGGACTCGGGTTGGCCTGACGGGGCCATCGTGAAAACGACGAGACCCCATCTGGAAATTTGACGCGAGCTCCCGCTGCAACCATCCCACGAAAACCGGACCGTCAAAATCCAGGGCGCGCTCGGCAAAAAACGTCAGCAAACCCGACTTCCGGCTTACTCGAGTCTTCTACGTTTCCCCGAACGATACGTAGGGGGGGGGACTGGCATAGCTGGGAAGGCATCGACCTGGAACCGGCGGGCATCGCCGACAGATCGGCGCAAGGGCCCCGACGGGGAGTCCGCACGCTCCTGGGCTGGGCTGGGGCTATCGGGCCCCCATCGGCGATCCATGGACGATTGGGGATCGATGCTAGACAAACAAAAACTCCATGAACATAAACTCTTGGCGCTCCGCGCGAATTTCTTGGATCCGCGCCGGACCCCCCTTCCTGGCTCGCGGAGCGCGCCAGGGGAACTAGCGCGGATCCAAGAAATCCGCGCGGAGCGTCGAAAGTTTCTGCTTATGTTCCTCTTCGGGATTGGGGATCGCAGCGTCCCAAGACCTCCGGCGTCATGATCTTTCATGACGCGACCCCCAGAGGTCCGGACCCATTCCCCGGGACCGGTTCTTCATCCAGAGCCGTTCTTTGACGGTCCCGAGGTCCAGAACGGGCCCCCAGAGATCGAAAACATAGAAAACCTCCCGTCGTGATTTTTCCACGACTCGAGGATATCTGGTCCCCCCCCCGTGCATCGCCCACCCCCCCTATCGTTGCCCCCGAGCCTCCTTCTTGTCCACCTGCGGCGGCGCGCCCGGGCGAGAAGGCACAGAGCCCAGACCTCCTCGCGCCCAGACCTCCTAGTGTTAGGTCGGGCCCGTCCCCCTACATGGGGGTTTTGGCCAGAAACAAAAACATGGTAAAAACATACTCCCAAACATTCAAAACATGGTAAAGCAATGTCCCGAGATTATGTTTGGACTATTTCCGAATATTCCCCTTGTAGAGGGACAGGCCCGACCTAATCCTCGTGCCTGACCTTTGAAACATGCGAGTTTGGGCCAACGTGCCATAAGTCATGTCATGGTGCACCTGGGCAGTGCATTGCCCTGGATGCACTTGCAGCATGGCGTTTTTCTGTATGGGTCCACGTCTAAGCCAATGTGTCCCATTCACCTACGCCTTCGCCGTGCAACATCGCGACGGGGAGTTATCGACGACCTTCGGCCTCGAGGGGTCCTCGCCGGGCCTCAGGACTGCCACAGACGATGCAGGACAAGAAACTGGTCCCGGTGAGCCGAGGCCTCCGGGGGTCCGCGCTGCGATAAAGGACGGCGTTGGCGGTCTGGGGGGGGGGGGGGCGGGCCTTTCTCAGAAGGCTGAGAAGGCCTCCGGCCTTCTGAAGGGGGGGGGGCGGCCTCCTCAGAAGGCGGGCCTTCTCCCCAGACCCCCGACGTCATGATTTTTTCATGACGCCCCCCCCAGAGGTCCAGACCCTTTCCCTATGACCGGTTTTTCGTCCTGAGTCGTTTTTTGACGCTCCCGAGGCCCGGTAAAGGCCCCCGGAGGCCGAAAATAGGGAAAAACCTCCCGTCGTGATTTTTTCATGACTCGAGGAGGTCTGGGTCAGAAGGCTGGGAAGGCCTCCGGCCTTCTGAAGAGCTTCCAGAGCCTTCTCCGAAGCCGCAGGGGGCTCCCCAGAATGCCGGAGGGCTTCCGAGACGCCTCGCCAGCTTGCGAGAGAAGGCCCTGTCCCCCTCTGACTCCTCCTCTCGGCGCGCCGCCGACTGCCTGCTTGACGGTCTCCATGGCCTGCTTGTAGGCTATGGGGCTCTCGCCGGGCGCATTCGTGTTCACCTTCGTGGCCGCTTCCATGCCGCCCTCCTCGCTGGGGTCCTTGGCGGGGTACTCCCTCTTGAAGTAGTCCACCTCCTCGGTGCTGAACATCTTCCAAACGACCTGCCAGTCGACGGGAATCGCCGTGCACGCCTCTGTCAGTTTCTTCTTTCTCTCTGCCGCCTGTTCTGCGGCAACTCATGGGGAGCATCCCATACCATCTCGTCGGCTCTTGCGAATCGACGCCACGTCGACGCTGGATCGACGCTGAGCTGGCGCTATCTCATCGACGCCCAGACGCCAATCGACGCTAATGCTTGGCGGCGCGCAGAGGGGGGGGAGGGGGAGGGGGGAAGGTCTCTCAGAAGGAGGCCGCCTCTTGAGAGGCGGCGGCCTCGGGCTTCTAGACAGGGCCTGCGCCCTCTGAGCAGGGGTGCTTCTGAGAAGCCTCCCCCCCTCCCCCTGTCTTATGATGTTCCAACCTACTTTAGCCTCGATCACCAGGAAGAATTTCGAGCGCCCCAAAAAAGTGCCGCCGAAACCCAAGGGTTTTCACCTGTCGGGCCCTGGGAGACACTCGCCCGACACTGTTTCGACACTCTTTTGATACTTTTTTTCCGGGTGCTCGAAACTATTTCTGGGATGCGGCCCTGAAGTAGGATGGGAACAACATAACCCCTGCCCCTCCTCTGCGCGTGGCCGACGCGCAATCGAGAGATGGAATCACGAGGGCATAAGAGGCCCCCGCGCTCTGCCGCCGCGCGCCTGGGAGGGCAGCCCGCCGCAGGACTGCGTGACCATGTGGGCGAACCAGCACTGCAGCTCGGTGGCGAAGGTGGCGTTGTCGCTCCGCTTGCCCGGGTGCACGACGACCGGGCGCCCCGGCAGAGGAGCCCCCCCAGAGGCTGGGGGCGCGGAGGAGGAGGCGGAGGAGGAGGAGGCGGAGGAGGAGGAGGAGGAAGACCAGGAGGAGGCGGAGGAGGAGGCGGAGGAGGAGGAGGAGGCGGAGGAGGAGGAGGAGGCGGAGGAGGAAGACCAGGAGGAGGAGGAGGAGAGGGACGAGGAGGAGCAGGAGCAGGAGGAGGTGGAGGACGAAGAGGAGGAGGAGCGGCAGCACCTGCCGAAGGGGTCCCCTCCCCGGCTTCTGGGAGGCCGCCTCGGGGCCTCGGCGTCGCTACTGGGCCTCCTCGGGGCCAGGCACGTCTGAGAGGACGTCGAGGCACCCTTGGCGGCACGAGGCCCTAACCATTTCACACGACTTGCCAGAGACAAGGCTATACAGAGACACGTTACAATGTAAAACTGTACCACGCTTGTGACTTCAATGCTGTACACAAACCGCAGCGCAGCGTGAGCCGTACCGAGCCGGGTCCGGCGTCGCCAACATGTCCTATGTGGTCTCGTATCCTTGATGGGCCCCATGTCCGCCCTACCCGTGCAATCCCCCCCCGTGATCCTCTCCATCTGGCCTGGGCACGAGCCCTCCTCCTCGTCCTCGTCCTCGTCCTCGTCCTCCTCCTCCTCCTCCTCCTCCTGGGGCACTCATAGGGGGCGTGATCCTCTACTTACAGGGGAGTCCCATTCCTCCTCCTCCTCCTCCTCCTCCTCGTCCTCCTCCTCCTCGCTCGCTCGCTCGCCCTCCTCCTCCTCCTCGTCCTCCTCCTCCTTCTCCTCGCTCGCTCGCTCGCCCTCCTCCTCCTCCTCCTCCTCCTCGCTCGCTCGCTCGCTCGCTCGCTCGCTCGCTCGCCCTCCTCCTCTTCCTCCTCCTCCTCCTCCTCCTTGGGGTAGGTCTCCGTTCAAACCCATCTTGCGAATATTTACGGATCCATGCAGCGCGGGCCACATGCGCGCGCTCGCGCGCGCTGCGCGGTTCTTTCAAACTCGACTGGTACGTCGGGATGTTCAGCGTGCAGCTCTTCAGCAGCATATGTCAATTAATGGCTTTCCATGTGACGTGCTGGCATAATCCTGTCATGTATTTCGCGCGAGGGCGCCAGTGCGCTTCAACGAAAACAGCAAGATGCGCGTGACAGCTCATCGACTTGCACGGCCTTCTGCAGAAGCTCGGCTGCCAAGACGATGAGACCCCCAACATCCAGACAAAAGGTGCACGTTACGGTTTTTTTGGGGGCACGGTGAGATTGATCGGACGCAATGGGATTAGACGGAGGAACCTTGATTAGATGTTGAGTGCTTTGGTAGATATGACCGCGTTCCGCAGCAAGTGTGATCGTGCCGTACGATACTGTGCTACAATATGACATGCAATACTGCACCGTTGCATGTTATATAACGTGATGCAGCGTCCTGCACACACGATGCTTCATGCATGCTGGTGTACGTAAACACGTGCATGGCTACATCGTGCGGGCCTGTGCTGCTCTGCGCAATGATATATTCTACTTGTACATTATACTACGCACTACTACGCCCGGGCTATAAGAAATCACATGCCACGCCACACTGCTCGAGACGCGACGAGAGATCCCGACTACAGACCAAAGGGCCACGAGCAACCACCCGAGATCTCGATCTACGACTGGAGACGTCGGGCTACCGATTTTGGATCGCGCAACATACCCGTCGGCATCCCAACGCGTCCATATTTATCCGCGTTGGCGGGTTCGGGAACCCTGAGCCCAAAAACGTTTTCATCCCTTGGGACCGAATCCTTTACTTCTGCCGCCTCCCGCCGGCCTTTCCGCCGGCTTCCTTTTCTCTTTTTCAGACGCTACACCCTCTAAGATTCGGCGTGGATGTCTTGCGATGGGCTCGGTAAAAAAAACAACCGCATTCGCGGCGCAGCAAATTCCCTCGAATTATGCTGGAGCCCGAAGGGGGCGCCGAGACAGGGATAACGAGCCGCTGAAAGCAAGCTAACCATGATCCTGCACTCGAGCACCCCCTCCTCTGAGGGGATGGCACGACGAGAGCAGCCGCCACGTAGCCCCCTAGCTATGCGGCGGGCCTCGTCCCGTAATGTTCACCCGAATTCGACTAAAGCACTCTGAACCGGAGGAAGGGGCGAGCGGGACAGGGGGGACGTGGCCGGCAAAGCTGTAACGTTGCCGACGGCGACCGCCTAAGGCTAGTGCGAATCACTCCTACCGGTTGACGCTGCCGAGGCTGTGGACCATCCGAGTAGCATGGGCAACGCGCCGGCCTGCGAAATCAAGTGTCTATCCCATGAAGGGCAGCCGAAGCACCGACCAAGCGTCTATCCCATGAAGGGCAGCTGAGCACCGACGCGCCATGACGAAGCAGTGAGGAATAACCACAGATGGTACCAACTCGAACACTAGCGACAGGGACCGCCGAATGCAATGCATCACCGAAAGGCCAGGCCAGGGAGTTGACGAAGTAGTAGATGACGGCGTAAGTGGTTTATGTCGACAAAAACTCGCGGGCATAATGCATGCTCGAGAAAACTTCGGGTAGAACTGGGACAGCAGTTGCTCTGTAATTGGCAGCGTGGGCGACCACGGAAATGAACTCCCTCCATGAGCCACACCGCCCAACTTCGGGCCCATATAGCCACCCTAAGCCCTAGTTCCAGCAAGAATGGGTCTCAATTGAACTCCACCTCGCTGTTCTCAGAGGTCGGGCAGCCTCTGAACGCTCACCTCGCTGGCGTAGAAGCTGCTAGCAGCGCCCAGCCGCGCCACAGGCATCGCACATGGCAAAGTTGGCTGGGTGCGGGCGCGGGTCACAGCCAGGGGGGGACTTGCGACCCCCCGCTCCCCTGCGGAGGCAAACGGATCCTTGAGCCGCCGAGGCTTCCGCCGGCTTCCGCCGGCTTCCGCCGGCGGAGGCGGCCTCGTTTTACTTCCGCCGATCTTCCGCCGCGGAAGAGATGGCAACTCCTTTATCGTCGAAGGCAAGACCCTCTTTGGAACGCCCCATATCTATCTACCTATACGACCACCCTTCGGGTGATAAGGAGGTTGGGGGGGATGTACCAACGTCTCACTCGATCGGTCTCACTATCGATCTCACTATCGATCTCACTATCGGTCTCGCTCGATCGATCTCACTCGATCGATCACACAATCGATCTTACCCGATCTATTTCATTCGATCGATCTCACAATCGATCTGACTATCGATCTCACAATCGATCTCACTATCGATCTCACCATCGGTCTCAACATTCATCTCACATTCGGTCTCGCTATCGATTTCACCACCGATATCACAATCGATATCACAATCAATGTCATCATTTTCATCATCGACATCATCGTCATCAGCGTCGTCGACATCATCATCATCGGGACACCATCATCATCATCACCACCTCATCACCATCATCATCAACATCATCATCATGATCATCGGGACACCATCACCGTCACCATCATCATCATCATCATCAACGTCATCACCGGGTCACCATCATCATCATTATCATCGGATAACCACCATCATCACCATCATCATATCATCATCATGATGAACAACATCGTCATAATCACCATCATCGGGACACCAGCATCATCATCAGCATCCTCATCATAAACATCATCATCACGGGAACACCATCATCATCGTTACCATCATCATCACCATCATCATCATCGGGACACCATCATCATCAACATCATCATCATCATCATCGAGTCACCATCATCAAATTCATCATCACCTCATCACCACCCTCATCATCAACATCATCATCATCATGATCGAACACCATCATCGTCATCAGCATCATCATGACCATCATCGGGACAACAACATTATCACCACAATCATCATCATCATCAATCGCATCATCATCAGCCTCATCATCATCGCCACACCATCATCATCATCTTCATCATCACCATCACCCCATAATTTCATCATCATCACCATCCTCATGATGATCATGGTCATGATCATCATGATCATGATCATCATCATCATCATCATCATCATCGGGACACCATCATCATCAGCAGCATAATCAGCATCATCATCATAATCATCGGGACACCATCATCATCACCAACATGGCCATCATCATCATCATCATCATCATCGGGAAACCAGCATCGTCACCATCATCAGCATCCACATCATCAATATCGGGACACCATCACCATCATCATCCTCATCGGGACACCATCAACATCATCATCTCACCATCACCATCGCGAACAACATCATCAACATCATCATCATCATCGGGATACCATCATCATCAACAACATCATCATCCACATCATCATCATCATCGGGACACCATCATCATCGTCACCATCATCATCATCATCACCAGCATCGTCAGCATCGGGACACCATCATCATCATCAGCATCAACATCATCATCATCATAATCATCATCGGGCCACCACCATCAAAACCATCATCATCACTTCACCATCCTCATCATCAACATCATCATCATCATCGGGACACCGTCATCGTCATCATCATCGGGACACCATCATCATCATCATCGCGATCATCATCAACAGCATAATCACCCTCATCATCATCATCATCATCGGGCCGCCATCATCATCACCATCATCATCATCATCTCATCATCATCAACATCATCAGGATCATCAACATCATCGTCATCATCATCGCGACACCATCATCATCAGCAACATCAGCAGCATCAACATCATCATCATCATCATCATCATCATCATCATCATCATCATCATCGGGACACCACCATCATCACCACCATGGCCATCTTCATCATCATCATCATCAACAACATCGTCATCATCATCATCACCACCATCATCACCATCACCATCACCATCACCATCACCATCACCATCACCATCATCATCATCATCATCATCATCATCATCATCATCATCATCATCGGGACACCGACGGGACACCGGCTGGACACCGCGCGGCACCGGTTGCCAGAAGGGAGACTTGGGGTCCGGCCGCGCCTCAGCCAGAGGCGGGACATTTCTCGTCCGCCCACGCAGCTTCGCCTCGCCCGCACGCACGGCACGCACGAACACGAAACCGACATCGATTTCCCTATAAGGGGGCCCTCCGTTCCACTTCGATCTCACCCCCTCACCTCCGATGTATATAATATATGATATATATATATATATATATATATATATATATAATATATGTGTAGATATATATATATATATATATATACAAGACTGCAGTGGCGCTTCGCGCCATGCACCTTGGTCCTTGAAATTTGGTATACAGGCGGAATAGCAGGAAGGTGAAGCCGACAATTTAGCGATAACTCTTTGTTGCCTTTTCCGACATCGCCGCTTTAACAATATTATTCGTTATCCTTCATCCATGCTTCTTTGTCCTTATTTTTCGCCATCCTCCTCAGCTCTTTTCTGCGGAGGCTCCTCCTTGGAGAGCCTCTGGGGGCCTCACAAAAGTTGTTTCAGGCTTCCTTAAGGCCTTCTGGAGGCGTCCTGGGCGTATTCTGGGGGCCTCTGGGGGCTTCCGCGGGCCACCCTGCCTCCAACCGCGGTCTCCCTGAACGACCGGGTCACGATTTGGAATGCTTCGGAGGGTGTCTTTGGTCCATCTTGGGTCGCCATGGGGCTCTCTGAGGGCCATCTTGGACCCGTGTTGTGCCGTTTGGGGGCTCTCTTGGACTGCCTGGAAGCCCTTTCGGATGGTTGTGGGGCGATTTTGGAGCCTCCCAGGCGGCTTCGGACGCCCAGAAAACCGCCGTCTTGGAGCGTGAAACCGAAAAGAGGAGAACCCCAAAATTCACCAAAAACCAATAGAAAATCTACGACTTTTGCATCTGGGGGCCTTCTTGGGAGTGCTCTTGGAGGCCTCTTTGGGGCCGTCCTGGAGGCCTCTAGGGCCATCTTGAGGTCACGTCGGTCACTCTTGGAGCGCTCTTGTGCTGTCTTGGGGGTCCCTGGGACGTCTCCGATGATCGCCCTAGGTGTGCTGGGAAGGCTTGACAAAATGCCCTGCGAGGCCCGGGAACCGCTTCGAGGCCCGTCCGGAGGGTCCCAAAACACCAGATCCCGGGAGTCCGGTTTGGGGGGGGGGATGGGTTTCCCCCCCCGCCCAGGCTTATAAAAATATAGGAGGAGGAATGAATGTATGTATGTATGTATGTATGTATGTATGTATGTATATATATATATATATATATATATATATACATATATATATATGACACTTTCAGGCAAGCTGCTCAGGGAACCTCGGCACACGTAAGCATACCCTTTCTGAGGCCCGCACGGATCTCTCCGATCGGCGCTCGGCCCCCCCCCCCCTCCCTGGCGCGTGGACCGCGACGGGGATGGTGCCGGAGGCGCCGCCTGGGGGATCCTGCGCCGATCCGAGAGAATCGACCTCCGACGACGACCCAGGCTCACAGTAGGGGCTCGACCACAAGAAAGCTTCCACAAGAAACCCAACCCCGAGGCCCCAGGACGTCCACGGATTTTGGGCGTGGGAGCGGCTCGGCTTTCCATCGCAAAACCATCGAAACCCAGGAAGCACAGGGCACCCTGGAGGCGAGCAGGGTGTTTCTTGGCATGGATCTCCACTGTATGCGCTGATCTTTCTGCTTCGGCATGTCGGGGACACCTCGGCGCCGCTGGCCGACGTATACCCCTCGCAGGTGGGGCTGGGCGCCGCGTGGCCGATCCCAGCAACCCTGAATCCAAACATCTTGTCTCCTCCTCCTCCTCCTCCTCCTCTTCCTCCTCTTGCTCCCCCTCCTCCTCTTGCTCCCCCTCCTCCTCCTCCTCCTCCTCTTCCTCCTCCTCCTCCTCCTCCTCCTCCTCTTCCTCCTCCTCCCTCCCCCTCCTCCTCCTCCTCCTCCCTCCCCCTCCTCGTCCTCCTCGTCCTCCTCCTCCTCCTCCTCCTCCTCCCTCATCCCTCCTCCCTCCTCCTCCTCATCTCCCTCCTCCTCCTCCTCCTCCTCCCTCCTCCCCTCCTCCTCATCCTCCTCCTCCTCCTCCTCCTCCTCCTCCTCCTCCTCCTCCTCCTCCTCCTCCTCCTGGGGAGGTCGATTTTTGCTTCCGCCGCCTTCCGCCGACCTTCCGCCACCCTTCCGCAAACTTCCGCCGAGGAAGGGATGACAGCTCCCTCGACCCTCAGAGGCAAGGCCCTTCTTGGAGCGCCCCATGTGTTCTTCGCGTCTCGCAGCGCCCATCCCCACCGAGAGGGGGCACGCTGGGGGAGCTACTGCACCCTGTCCCCGTAGGGGCTGGGATGGCTCTGGCGACGATGAGATTGGCGGCGCGCGAGGAGTAGGAGGAGTAGGAGGAGTAGGAGGAGTAGGAGGAGGAGGAGGAGGAGGAGGAGGAGGAGGAGGAGGAGGAGGAGGAGGAGCAGCAAGGAGGATGGAAGGACGGACGGACGGGCATCCTTCCATCGCGCCGGGGCGCGGTCCCCGCTGGTAACGGAGAGGTGGCGCCGCAGCGCCGATTATTCGAGGATGGGGGGGACAAGTTGGCGGCGCGCACAAGGGGGTGGAGGGAGGGGGGAGGGCTTCTCAGGAGGCTGCTTCTTAGAAGGCGCCAGCCTTACATCTATAGATGAGGCCCGCGCCTTCTGAGAAGCAGGGGTGCTTCTAAGAAGCCCTCCCCCCTCCCCCCAACCCCCCTTCTGCGCGTGGCTGATGCACCCTGTCCCCGTAGGGGCTGTGATGGCTCTGGCGATGCTGAGATGAAAGACGCTGGGCCAGGGACGCCCCTGCCAGAGCGCCCGGGAAGAGCTCCACGGAGGCGGTGGCAAAGTAGTCCTTCAGAGGGCTGACGCGACCCTCTTTGGCAAAACGCCCTTGGGCGAAAACTGCTGGGGCACGCCACGGGTGCGTGCGGCACCGTGTTCGCTCCCAGTGCCCCTGGCCAGAATCACGACTCGACGTCCCCAGACAGCCGCCGATTGCAATCGGCGGCGCGCACGTCGATTGGCGAAACCGACCGGGGGCTGCACCAGTGCCCGCGCATGCCAAACTGGAGTGGGCCCGTGCAAGATTTCCTCGGTCGACTTGTCTGCGCGGGCGTTCTCCTCAGACATGCGACGTCCTGATCTTTTCGGGACGGCGCCCCTGGAAGTCCCGACCCTTTCCCCGGGACCGGTTTTTCGTCCGGAGCCGTTTTTTGACGGCCCCGAGGCCCGGCGAGGGCCCCCAGAGGCCGAAAATAGCCCAAAACCTCCCGTCCTGATCTTTTTATCGACGCGATCATGTTTTCGGGAGCGGCCAAGAGGGGGGTGTCCAAGAGGGGGGGGTGCACATCATGACCGGCGGCATGTGCGCGGCCCAGCGGGGGGGCCAGGGACGTAACGAGATAAGAAGAGGCACCATGAAATCTGGGGAAATATCATGGCCTACGCCATGATATCCACCCCCCCCTAGTCATCACCCCCCTCTTTTCCGCCACCGATCTTTTTATCGACGCGATCATGTCTGGGTCTCCACACCGGGTCCTTCGAGCCCGGGACCAGCTCGTCGAAGCCCTTGCCGCAGGCGGTGTCCGGCTCCTGCCGTGCGCGGGCGCGCACGCGGCTGCCGACGGCACGGGCCAGCAGCGCCGTGGCGCACAGGGCGGCCAGCTTCATCACCTGGGCGGGGCGCAGTGCGAAGAGGACGTCCTGCCAGAGGTGCACACACGCGCACACGCACACGTACCCGCACGCGTGCGCACATGCGCACACACACATACGCGCACACAGGCATCGTAAAGAAATCAGGACGGGAAGTTTTTGGCTATTTTCGGCCCCGGGGGGCCCTCGCCGGGCCTCGGGACCGTCAAAAAGCGGCTCAGGGCGAAAAACCAGTCCCGGGGAAAGGCTCGGGACTTCCAGGGGCGCCGTCCTGAAGACATCAGGGCGTCGCATGTCCGGGGCGAACAGTTCAGCCGCCTTCCGGAGGCCAGAGCACTTCAGCCTCCAGAAACCCAGACCCCCGACGTCATGATTTTTTCATGACGCGACCACCAGAGGTCCGGACCTATTCGCCGGGACCGGTTTTTCATCCTGAGTCGTTTTTTGACGCTCCCGAGGGCCGGTAAGGGCCCCCAGAGGCGGAAAATAGGGAAAAACCTCCCGTCGTGATTTTTTCATGACTCGAGGGGGTCTGGGAAGGACCTTCAGGACTCCGGGAGGCCAGAGCAATCCCTTGGCCTCGAGCTTCTTGCATCACCGTAGCGCTCTCACCCTTTCGGGCTTCTGGCGCTCTCGGCCGCCAGGAGCCCCAGGAAGGCCGCGCGGCGCCAGAAAACTGCCCCCAAGACGCCCCCCCAAAAACTTCGACCTCCCTCCTCCCTCCTCCCTCCTCCCCCCTCCCTCCTCCCTCCTCCCTCCTCCCACCGCCCTCCTCCCTCCTCCCTCCTCCCTCCTCCCTCCTCCCGGTCCACCGGCGGCGGCGGGGACGAGAGCGCGACCCCGCGGAGACGGGGCGCTTTTTCAGCGGGTGCCCCGCGCGGAACGCATCCGCGCGACCGCGCATCCGTGGCATCGCGCCCCAGAGACCAGACCGCGAGGGCGCGGACGAGACGGATCTGCTCGCCGCTCGTGATGAGGGGAGCGGCCCTGGCCTCCCCAACGCGCTTTGTTTCACTCCGCGGCCCCCTGCGGGGAGGTCCCGCCCCCCTCCCCCGGGGGTCATTTTTCGCCCGGGGAGCCGTGATTCTGATGGCCCCTATAGGGCCCGATGCAGGGCCCCCGAGGCCGAAACCGAGGCACAGACACTGGGATTGGGAACATGAGGGGCGACGATCGCGGGGGATGTGGGGAGGAGGAAGGGCGCCATCCAGGAGGAGGAAGGATGACAGCAGCGGCGAGGAGGAGGTCCAGGAGGAGGGAGGAAGGGGGCCCAGAGATCCGATGTCGTGATTCTTTCAATCCCGGGTCCCCGGAGGTCTCGACACCTTCCCCAGGGGGACTGGCATGGGGGGACGCATCGATCTGGAATCGGCGGTACATCGCCGATAGATCGGCGACGGGCCCCCGATCGTGGATCCGCACGGTTCCTGGGCAGGCTGGGGCTACCAGGCCCCCATCGGCGATGAATGGGCGACTGGGCCCAGCCCCCCGACGTCATGATTTTTGCTATGACGCGACCCCCATAGGTCCGGACCCATTCCCCAGGACCAGTTCTTCATCCTGAGTCGTTTTTTGACGGTCCCGAGGTCCCGTAAGGGCCCCCAGATGTCGGAAATAGCGAAAAACCTCCCGTTCTGATTTTTCCATGGCTCGAGCGAGGGGGTCTGGGGGGGGTCGATGCATCCCCCCCTATGCCTATCCCCCCCCCCTATCGCTGCCCCCGGGAGCAGCCTATCGCCACAGATCTGGGCCTCCTCCTTCCGCCCCTCCCCTCGACCAGGCCCCACGGCGTGAGCCTAAGACTGGAGACTTGCGACATCGCCCACAGCACGTGCGGCGGATCCGAAGGCGGGGCGGGCTTGTCTTTTTTCCTTCCCGGTCGTCCTCTGGCCGGCCTGGGGGCCCCAGTGAGGGTCCCCGGAAACCGAAAGCAACTCCTCCTCCTCCTCCTCCTCCTCCTCCTCCCCTCCCTCATCCTCCTCCTCCTCTCTCCTCCTCCCTCCTCCTCCTCCTCCTCCTCCTCCTCCTCTCCCCTCGTCCTCCTCCTCCTCCTCCTCCTCCTCCTTCCCCTCCTCCTGTCGGCCCGGCCCTGCCCCACGGCTGGGGAGGAGGCTCGGGCCTTTGGTGCCCGCTCGGGGCGATGCGGGCACCCGCGAGAACGCTCCTGGCCACGCGCAGCTGGTGGAGGGCACCCCGAGGCTGGAAGCCCGCTGGGAACCGACGAAGACGTGCGAAATCTCCTCCTCTGAGATCCTCCTCCTCCTCCTCCTCCTCCTCCTCCTCCCTCTCCTCATCCTCCTCCTCCTCCTCCTCCCCCTCCCCCTCCCCCCTTCTCCTCCCCTCCCCCTACCCCTCCTCCTCCTTCCTCCTCCTCCTCCTCCTCCTGCTCGTCTTCCTCCTCCTCCTCCTCCTCCTCCTCCCATTTCCCCCTCCTCCTTCTCCTCCACCTCCTCCTCCTCCTCGCCTTCCTCCTCCTCCTCCTCCTCCTCCTCCTCCTCCTCCTCAAAGGCTGCAGCATCGCGTGAAATCACGACGGGACCCCTGAAGCCCACCTTCCTGCTGCACGTTTCAAGCCAGATCGATCTGTGATGCATCGCCCTGGGGCCCGAAGCTAGGCGAAACCGCCAATGTGTGAAGAAAAATCTAGCGCCCGGATCTAAGGGGCGAGGCGAGCCGACGAAACCGTGCGAAGACCTTCTCGTGGAAAGTCAGCGGCGTCGGAGGCGTCGAATGGGGGGCATCCGCGAGAGGGGGCGCAAATCATAGCCCGAGTCTCGTGCGCGGATCCAGGGGGGTGATGGGGACGTATTGAGAGAGAAAACAACAAGAAAACGAATGAGAATACTGCTAAACATTCTACAATGGATATCAATAATACCACTGATAAGAGACATATGCTAATACTCATAAGCATACCCATGCCAACAACACTGCGAATACGAACAATGCGAAACGTACAACAACTCATCATCATACTAAAAGTCGTACTAGCAGCCACAAGTCGGAACATGATACGAATAAGACGCATACGACGAAACAAACAACAGCACTAACAACACCAATGAGACGCATGTTATTAGTAATGCACCATAATTTTTATATGGTTACCCGTGCTAATATCAGCATTGATACGATTATCATTATGACTGGTAACATCCATAATACATTTTCCAAAATAGAAGTAACACTGCCATCACTAACAACAACACTACTACAAGTGATATCAATAATGATACTACGAGTACTGGAAGTAACACTCATCGTAGTAGTAGTAGTAGTAGTAGTAGTAGTAGTAGTAGTAGTAGTAGTAGTAGTAGTAGTAGTAGTAGTAGTAGTAGTAGCGATAGTCTTTATAATAGGAGTACTAGTAGTCGTAGCAGTAGTGATAATAGTGATAATAGTAGTAGTGGTAGTAGTAGTAGTAGTAGTAGTAGTAGTAGTAGTAGTAGTAGTAGTAGTAGTGGTAATCGTAGTAGTAGTGGTAATCGTAGTAGTAGTAGCGTGGTAATAGTAGTAGTAGTAGTAGTAGTAGTAGTAGTAGTAGGTAGTAGTGTAGTCGTAGTAGTCGTGTAGTCGGAGTAGTGGTGGGTTGTAGTAGTAGTAAAAGTAGTAGTGGTAGTAGTAGTAGTAGTAGTAGTAGTATAGTAGTAGGCAGTCGTTCGTCGTCGAGTAGTAGTAGTAGTAGCAGTAGTAGTAGTAGTAGTAGTCGTAGTAGTAGTAGTAGTAGTAGTAGTAGTAGTAGTAGTCGTTAGTAGTAGGTAGTAGTAGTAGTAGTTAGTAGTTAGTAGTAGTAGTAGTAGTGTCGTAGTGTAGTAGTATAGTAGTAGTAGTAGGAGTAGTAGTAGTAGTAGTAGTAGTAGTAGTGGCAGTCGTCGTCGGTCGTGTAGTTAGTAGTAGTCGTAGTAGGCGTAGTAGTAGTGGTAGTTAGTAGTAGTAGTAGTGTAGTAGTAGTAGTAGTATGTAGTAGTAGCGTAGTCGTAGTCGTAGTCGTAGGTCGTAGTAGTAGTAGTAGTAGTAGTAGTAGTAGTCGTCGTAGTGGTAGTAGTAGTAGTAGTAGTAGTAGTAGTAGTACTGGTGGTAGCAGTAGGCGTAAACATAATAGCACGAATCACACTAAGGATAACAATGATAACGGCAACAGTGGTAATCATACGAAAAAAAGGACGATTACTACTACTACTACTACTACTACTACTACTACTACTAGTACTAGTACTAGTACTAGTACTACGACTACTACTACTACTACTACTACTACTATTACTACTGGTACTACTACTGCGACTACTACGACTACTACTACGACGACGACGGGGACTACTACTACTACTACTACTACTACTACTACTACTACTACGACTACGACTACGACTACGACTACGACTAAGACTACGACTACGACTACGACTACGACTACGACTACGACTAAGACGACACTACTACGAATACGACTACTACGACTACTACTACTACTACTACTACTACTACTACTACTACTTACTACTTCTACTACTACTACTACTACTACTACTATACTACTACTACTTAATTACGACTACTACTACTACTACTACTACTACTACGAATCAAAAAAGGACGACGACGACTACGCCGACGACGACGACGACGACTAATACTACTACTACTACTACTACTCCTACTCCTACTACTACTACTCTACTACTACTACTACTACTACTACTACTACTACGACTACGACTACGACTACTACTACTACTACTACTACTACTACTACTACTACTACTACTACTACTACTACTACTACGACTACGACTACGACTACGACTACTACTACGACTACTAGTATGATTATCATTACCACTAATAGCCATGATCACAATACTGTAACAAGAATCATACACATGTAAATGCTAAGGAAACCAAGAAGAAGGAGCCATGACATCAGGGAAAATGTCATGGCCCTGGCCATGATATCCCCCCCCCCCTGGACATCACTCCCCTCTCGGCCACCCCCGACGGCGTGAGGGGCAACC